CAAGAAACCACCTATTTACCGATTTCAACTATGCAATAAAGTGGTCAGAATTTAGCAATTTTGCCAATTTCACACAAATTTCAAAAGATGCCAATTTCCAAATAGGGTCCAGAATAAACAAGAAAGACATTCCTGGCACTAAAATAACATTTCCTCTGTTCATTAGTCACGTCCCCAGGCCCCTCTTACATTTCTTTTGCTTTCCACTTTGAATTTTTATTCTCACAAAAAAAAAATAAGGTTTACTGTTATGCAGACTACTGCATTAGTGTAGAAATGGTATAAATAATATTGGCGCACTTGTGAAAGAATATCAGACTCACCAGTTGACGTGTATTGGACGCTTAGCATGATTTGTTTACTTTTGAACTTTGGTAAAAATCGAACATTTCTGCTACTTTGAGCTCAATTTCAAGGTACTTTTCATTGTAAAACCTGTCAAAATCATCTCAATTATTGTAATACATCTTCCATTCTATACAATGAGACCAGGAAAACTAGAATACAACAATAAATACCATATGAAAATACAGTGCAAAGTCGCTGTTTTAAACCAAAAACATGGTCCAATTTTTTTTTTCTCATTACGCACTGTGTGCTTCAGGATTTTTTTTTATACTGCACACACTGACCACATAGACCCATTCTTTCATATGTAGGCCTTCCAGCTTTCTCTTGCTAGATTTGAGGGCGCTAGAATTTATGCGTACTAGTACGTCAAAAACCCTGACTCATAAGCCGTACTAGTACTGCCGAAACCCTGAAAGGGTTAAAGGTTTGAGGTGACTGGCCATGGTAGATCCCCAAGCACAAATGCCATAAGTGAGGTAAGGGTATATTAGAGAGTGATTTAAGGTAAGGAGGGCCCGTTGGGGTACATAGTATCGTATCTTGGAAAGGATACCTACTGTTTTGGAAACTTTCTTAGTTATATGCTGGATATGGGCCTGAAATTTAAGATTACAGTCAAGGTGGAGACCTAGAAATTTGCCCTCAGTGTGTCTTGTAATGGGTGAATCATTTATCAATATGTTTAGCTGGATATTTGATGTTCTGTTTCCAAAAAGCATGAAGTAGGTTTTGTCTATATTGAGAGTAAGTTTGTTGGTAGTCATCCAGTTCGATATTTTAAGTAGCTCGCTGTTTACAGTGTTACTAAGTATAGCCGGGTTTGGGTGGGAAAAGACTTGTGGTGTCTTCCGCGAATAGAACTGGTTTAAGGAGTCGCTATGCATTTGGGAGATCATTGATGTAAATAAGAAAGAGTAGAGGACCTAGGACACTTCCCTGTGGCACTTCAACAACTACGGGCTGAGTATTGGAGATCATGCCATTTGTGTATACATACTGGTGTCTACCACTAAGATAAGATTTTAGGTAGTTGAGCGAGTGTCCTCTGACCTTGTAATGCTCTAGTTTTAGGTGTAAAATATTGTGGTTGACTGTGTAAAATACTTTCCGTAGGTCTATGAAGAGTCCCATAGGATATTCATTTTTGTCAATTGATGTACATATATAGTAATTCGAGCACCTGAATAATTGCATCATTTGTGCTTTCTTTTTTTGGCCTAAACCCAAACTGGCAGGGGTTCAGTATGTTATGGGATAGGAGGTAGGAGTAGATTTGTTTATTATTTTTTCGAAGATTTTTGAGAGCAAAGTTAGATATTGGTCTGTAGTTATTTAGTTCTGTAGGATTGCCTCCTTTGTGGATCGGAGTGACCCTTGCTGTCTTGAGTATGGATGGGAATTTAGAAGATTCAGCAGATTTGTTAGTATTGCAATAATGTGGGACAGCACATGAGCTGCTTTTTTATACATGATTTTTGGCAAGTCATTTAGGTCTCCTGCCTTGTTTTTTAATGATTTAATAATTAGTGAGACTTCAGTAGGATTGTTGGTGCTCTATATAGAGTACAGTGGACCCCCGCTTTACGATCACCTCCCAATGCGACCAATTATGTAAGTGTATTTATGTACGTGCGTTTGTACGTGTATGTTTGGGGGTCTGAAATGGACTAATCTAATTCACAATATTCCTTATGGGAACAAATTCGGTCAGTACTGGCACCTGAACATACTTCTGGAATAAAAAAATATCATAAACAGGGGGTCCACTGTATTTAGGTAATTACCAATGAGGTAGTCTTGTGGCTGAGTATTTGGGATTTTGCTTGCTAGTTTTGATCCTATAGTAGAAAAGAAGATATTAAGTTTGTTGGCAGTGTCTATAGGCTGTATGTGTGGTTCGTCTGGTTTTGCTAAGTTAATCTCTCTGCTTCTAGACAGTTTTCTAGATCCCAAAATTTCAGAGAGAGTTTTCCAGTTTTTTTTCATATTACCTTTTATTTCATTAAATCTATTTTCATAATACATTTGTTTGGACTTTTGTATTAGATTAGTAAGTATTGAGGTGTATCTTTTAGTTAGTTCTTTCATAATTAGGCCCTGTCTGAATTGTTTTTCATATAGATGTTTTTTATTGATGGATTTAAGTATGTATACTATTTGTAAGCCAGGGGCAGTTTAGTCTCTTTGTTGAAATTTGTTTCATTTTCATTGGACAATGTTTATAGTAGAGGTTATGGGTTTTGTTTAGGAATATGTTGACACATTCATCAATATCGTTAATGTGTATCAATTAACACAAATATGCTTCCAGAACATATATGAATAATACTTGCGTTGCACACTGTAACTTGCATAACCAATTGATGAAATGAAGAGGCCATACTTGTCATTAACCCTTTCAGGGTCCGTCCCGTAGATCTACGGCTTTACGTTCAGGGTCCAAACCGTAGATCTATGCCATGAGCTCAGCTCACTCTGATAAACTGTGAGTGGTACATTTGGGCCTAGATATGAGAGAATACATCTATGTGGTATGTGTGCACCACATAAAACAGATCCTGCAGCACACTGTGTATAATGAGAGAAAAAAAATGAAATCACGATTTTTCGATTAAAACAGCAACTTTGCAGTGTTTTTTCGTATGTTTTTTATAGTTGTATTTGCGATTTCTTGGTCTCATTTGATAGAATGGAAGACATATTACAGAAATAGAGATGATTTTGATTGGTTTTAGCACTGGAAATGGCTTGAAACTGAGCTCAAAGTAGCGGAAATGTTAAATTTTTGCCGATATTCAAGAGTAAACAAACGACCTCACACGTCTAATACACATCAGCTGGTGGGTCTTATATACATTCACAAATATGGTGATGATATTTATACAATTATTACAGTATTGCATAACAGTAAATCTTCTATTTTTTGGTGTGAATAAAAATTCATTATGTGAATAAAAAATCAAAATGGAATTTATTTGTAAAGCCTCAAAACATAACTAATGAACAGAGGAAATGTTAGTTTAGTGCAAGGAATGCCTACATTGTTCATTCTGGACCCTGTTTTGAAATTGGAATATTTTGAACTTTGTGTTAAATTGGCCAAATTAACAATTTCCGATCACTTTATTTTGTAGTTGAAACAGTTGACTTGGCGATTTCTTGTGCTCAATCGATAGAATAGAAGTAATACTAGTGAAATAGCTAAGAATTTGGTTGATTGGAATAATGTAATTGGCCTAAAATGGGAGTCAAAGTCGGCAAAATCGCCGATTCGTAAATATCGCTGACACATCAAAATTCGCGAGAGCATAATTTCGTCAATTTTCCACCAAATTTCGTACTTTTTGTTTTATTACCTTCACAAAAAGATTCTCTACGATTTCATAAGAAAAAATAAAATTTTTTTTTTTTTTTAAATTCTTGGACACTGGTGCGTGACTCCAGATTTGGGCCTTGGACCCTGAAAGGGTTAAAAAGAGGTGAAATTTTTTTTAGAAAGGATTTAAAAAATGTGCTCACCACAACTTCCATCACTACTGTTCATGATGAATGAAGTCTTCAATTTGCCTAGCTTCTGGCAGTACAGTAGCTGAGCAAAGCATGTAGCCAACCATCAAATTGAATCAGTCTATTACTGCTCCTCAGTGTCACACCTGATTCTTTCTTCTCCAGCTCATATATCATGTTTTCCCTATTTATCTCTACTGACCTAAAAGAATATCTTGTTGTACAGGTGAAATGTTGCCTTTAATAAAGTTTCCTAAAACTGCACTGTGTCTTTCTACATACAATTTGTTAGTATTCACATACCATTTAGTCATATTTATACGTATATTACTGGTAACTTTCTTTGTGAATTTGAAAGTTGACTCCCAACTTAGATGGGGAAAGGAAAGGTATTAGACTAGTCACTCCAAAGAAATGAACTCATTTAAGGGGAATAAATTAAATTTTTTTGCTATTTATCAATTCTTCCCTTTGATGAGCTAGATTTCAGAGTTGCCTGTTTTGTTATCTGTTTTTTTCTTTCTTTCAGGTCAGCCTTCAACCGTGGCTTCGTGATAATTACACATATAGTAAAAAGTCCTTTACACAAATAGTGATGAATTGCTGGAATGGGCTAGAAAACTAGGTTTATGCAACAGCCATGGTGTCCTGTGGCTCAGTTGACAATGCTCTTGGCTTACGCAATGAGTGTCCATGGCTCAATCCCCAGCATGGGTGGAAACACTGGGCATGTTTCCTTACACCTGCTATCCCTGCTCACCTAGCAGTAAGTAGGTACCTAGGTGTTAGTTGACCAGTGTGGATTGCATTCTGGGGGACAAGATTAAAGGACCCCAGTGGAAATAAGACAGAGAGACCTCAATGATGCACTGACTTTCTTGGGTTATCCTGGGTGGCTAACTCTCCAGGTTAAAAATCCAAACAAATCTTAATTATATTTTAAACTAGTGAATGAAGATGGGCATAGCTCCATTCCTGCAACTACTGCACTGTACTAATAGGTTCAAAGAAATTACCATTTTAGGTTCATTTTGGAGATTTTTAGGTATTAATAGAAAAAAATATTTACTAAATGCTGTATTAATTTTTACCCCCAAAATATTCTTAAGTTATATATGTAAATAAATGAAAACACACTTTACCTTATGAACAAATTTCGCCTCACAAAATGTACAGGAGAAATGTCCTTCACACTGACGCCGGTGTACGGAGAGAAGTGACACATCAGGAAGTTCTCGTTTACAACTTCTACAGCATACAGGTAGTAGATTAGGAGATGAAACCTCCTTGCCTTGGTCCTCTTGATTTGTTTCTGTAAGCCTTACTGTATCTTGAATACTTGTTAATGTAATTTGACCACTCTTACATGAATCTCCACATTCATCAGCATGTTTTTTGTCCAGTGAATCCACACCATGGGTTAAGCTTTTACTAAAATTCTGAGATGTAAGCAAAGTTGCTGGATGTTGTTTCATCATTGATATATGCACCTCACTCTTCTTCACAGTATCATGAGAAATTTGTTCATATACTATATCACATCCTATTTTGTCTGTCTTTAGATCAACTTGCAATGCATCATTGTCTGAAGATGGTACACAGTTGCCATCCTGTGATAAGCACTTAACTGTTTCTTTTATCACACTCACACTCTTGACTTTCCTGGCTTTCCTTTGTCTTCGAATTTCACCTGGGAATCCTGTAAGACACTTTTTCTTACGAATAACTTTAGCTTCGGAATTGTTTGTTTTCTCATTAGTTTTATTAACCATGTTACCTGATTCATTTAAAACATTTTTACATGCTCTTGCTTTCATTTTGGATGTTTGTACATAACTGACATAAGACGGATCTAAATTTTCAGCTTTCCTGATCTTTCCAGAATTGTAAACACTGGAAGCATTACTAAGGTCAACAGGATTTTTGTCACTTTGTAAATCATTCCATGGGTCTTTACTTTCTGCATTACACTCAAGAAAGTTATCATTAGAATATGATATAGCAGGAGCATTCTCAAAATTGTCTTGAGGTTTCCTGGCAGAAACATTTTGTATTTTAAAATATATTTTCTCACTGTTGTCCCTCTCAAGATAAGGAAATATATATGCAGTTTCTTCAGGATACAAACTATCTTTATCATGTATGTTACTAAAATTTGGTACATTAAAAGAATTAGAACTACTAGTATCATCAAATGTGACACATCTATTGCCTAGACTCTGTTTACCGCCACTTCTTTCTTGTTTTACATCTGAAATTCTCGAGTGAGATTCATCAGATATTAAGCTACATTCACTCTGAAAATCTTTTGGACTATTTGGTTCCTGCAGTGCATACAACTTTCTATTTTGATCGTGTGGTCTGAGAATAGTAGCAAATTCTTGAACTTGTTGACCTGTATCATCTAATTCAGAGTTACCTGAACTCAGCTGGTGTGTTTCATCCTGTGACAGTAAGGGTACAGTTTTATTCTGGGAAGTGTGCATCTTTTCTAAACTAGACACAGGCAGCATCTTATATGAGTGTTCAAGATCTGAAGTTTGTTGGAGACAATCAGCAGTATTACCCTCACAGTCTGTGTTTTGCTGTGTACCATATACTGTTTCTTCATCTATGACCTGTGATTGATCTTCATTTAAGGTTTTGAAGAAAGAGGTGTTTTCTTGTGGGTCTGTGACTGATCTAAAATCCAAGATGTTTTGTGGACACTGGGTTTCCTTTATACTTAAAACAGTCTGCTTTGAGCCCTTGCTTGTTTGTAAATCTACAGTGTGCTCTTGAGATTTATTAAATATCTTTGTCTCTATGGTGTGTTGCTGAGAATCCTGAGCTTTCTGAGATTCTAATGTTTTATGCAATACAAGAATATTCCTATCTGCTTCTATGGCTTTGTGTTTTTTGTTGAGTAGAACTGAGTCTGATGTATGTGGGATAATATTTAATGATGACTTTTCTTGAAGAAGATGCTTTATGTGACCATTTTGTTTGGTTTCTTGATGTAGACTCTGATACTGTGACATAGGCAATGATTTCTTATTGGGTACTTCATGTAGTGAAGCTTGGACAGTCGTTTCATTTGAAGCATGTGGTTGCATATCACAGTGGATCTCTGTATTCCTTATCTTCTGGTGCAAGCACTGATGATTTTCTTGTAAACATTGTTCTTGTGACAGTGATTCTGATGCATTATTTTTAATGTGTTGAGCTCCATTAAGTTGATGATTAATGGTTGACTGCAGGAGATCTAAGGCTACTTGCTGTTCTCCACATGGAAGCTTCTGTAATATGGCCAATAGTCCATTTAGCTGAAAAAAAGTGAAGGACAATAATTAAACAGGCAGCTCATATTCTAAAGATATAAAGCTGACTTGATGTTTATAACAAAATGTTTAATTAGATAATTTTGAAGACCAAGTGATTAATGACCAACATGAACACAAGCAGCCCTCATTCACACCTTTACTCATCTCTGAAACACTATTAGGTAGGATTATTAAACACCTTTTTTTAGATCAATATTCCTCCTCCTGCTTCTGCTTTCTTTCTCATATCCCCTGTCCACAAACTGAATCCAATCAGAGACTAGCCAGATGATCGCTTTAATAGTTGACAACCAGTGTAACACTGCTGACATGAGGCAGCACTGGTCTCCATCAGTTATCAAACCCTTGGGTAAAAAATGTTTTTCATATTGCAACTGGAAAACAATGCACATTACTCTTTGTCGGGGCTTTGAAGACACACTGGGAAGTACCACCAGTAGCCTGATTAATGGTGAACAGCCAAAATAACTCAAATGAGAAATCCAAGTTACCTGAGACGGAGACATTAACCCACTGTTTTAAAGAGATCTACATTACTGATGCCAACACTGCTCACATAGAGCTCAGCTCCCTTAGATAAGCTGTGAGTGGTAAATAATGGCCTAGACATGAGAGAATGGGTCTGTGCAGCAAGTGTGCACAATATACAAAAAATCCTGCCCCACATGGTGCATGATGGGAAATGCAAACCTCTGATGTTGGTTGAAAATAATGACCTTGAGGCATTTTCTAGGATGATTTTAATGGTTTCATAGGCTGTTTCTTGCTACCATCTGATAGAATGGAAGACATACTTCAAAAACAGATGATTTTTGTTGGTTTCAGGAGAGGAAGTAGCTTGAAATCAAGGTCAAAGTAGAGGAAATATTCGATTTTTTATTATATCTGAGAAATAAAGTAAAACTTCTACTTTTTGTGTGATGATGAATTCAAAATGAAGGGCAAGTATAATATAGCAGAGGCCTGAGGATGTGATTAATAAACAGAGGAAATGTTGTTTTAGTCACTGATGCATCTTTTTCCTAACCTAAGACCAGAACTGTACATTATGTGGAAGGGTGCAAGCCATTAAGCCTTGACACCCTATGGTGGGTAGTGGTCTACGTCTGGTAGACAGTACTCAGACAAAGAACTCAGGGAACTACTGCTACAGGAGAGATTGAATGTTCATGTGAATGTAATGTTGAAAGAAAACTACAAGCTGGAATATCCTAGACCTTGTTCAGAGATCTGCAGGAATCAAAAGTGAAAGCTAGCCAGCCCATGCCCAGGAAGTTGCTGAAATCAAGGAATACAGACTAGTCCTGTCTGCATGTATGAGTTGCTGATAAATGTAAATGCAACAGGAATCACGGTCTCCTGGTAGCCTGTCCCATCCAGGTAGGAGAATATTCTGTAAAGCAGCACATGATGGAAGACCCTATAATGAACTTGCGAGGTAGCCCATTAAGCTGTATGAGGGAGGATAGAAACCTGACAATATATACCAAAGAGTATCTCATCAGAAGCCGATCTCTCAGAAGGAAATGAGGCAAGGCTACCCATTTCAAAGCACAAGAAAATATGAAAATATGTTGGTCACTCTCTTCTTAATATACTGTACAAACTCCCAAATGAAATCCCGAACAATAAAAAGGTGCAACATCCCAGTTTACAAGATTTCCTTGCAGATACTCAAATAGGGAAGACAATTTGTACTATTTAGGCTCACAAGACTACTTTGGAATGACTCTGAAACATCTTCACCCACCTAATATAGTTCTGGACTGGCATTTGGATTTTTTTTTTTTTTAATAAGTCGGCCGTCTCCCACCGAGGCAGGGTGACCCAAAAAGAAAGAAAATCCCCAAAAAGAAAATACTTTCATCATCATTCAACACTTTCATCTCACTCACACATAATCACTATTTTTGCAGAGGTGCCTAGAATACAACAGTTTAGAAGCATATACGTATAAAGATACACAACATATCCCTCCAAACTGCCAATATCCCAAACCCGTCCTTTATAGTGCAGGCATTGTACTTCCCATTTCCAGGACTCAAGTCCGGCTATATAAAAATAACTGGTTTCCCTGAATTCCTTCACTAATTACCCTGCTCACACTCCAACAGCTTGACAGGATATGGTTCCCAATTGATCTAGTCCCATGTTTGATTCTCTGCTGAACCACCAGAGGAACATCTCTCTAAAAGTCAGCTCTCAGGTACTGATGTGAACACCACACACAATAGTATTACTCTCACTGACTTCATCTCAAAAACATTATGAACCAGGAACTACCTGGAGGCTAGTCCCTGACTTATGGGGGCATTCAGAACTATATTTATCTCTGTCAGAAAGATGGCCAAAACTCAAGACAGCATTTTCTTTGTTAACCTAGCCTTAACACCAACTCTTGGCTGATTTCACAGTGAGTTCAATGGTAATGTAATCCAAAACACCAAGCAAATTTTAGACACACTGACCTTGGTGGCCCAGATCCTCCTAGAGCTCATTTTGGAGGGCTTGTATCTTGGGATTCTCCTCTGTATATTATGTAAAGGTGGTGAACAGTAACTCATGTAATAAGAAAGCATACCGAGAATGCACTGCCGAGTGCAGGCAGCCCCAGGGCACTTAAATACTCTGCACATGGACAGAAGTATTAGATTCATTTACGATACAGCTGTCAGCAAGGTCTGAAATGCTGTTAACTGAGGAACCATTACTATTGCATGAGGTTGGTGAGTAATTCAGTTTCACCTGGTACCATGCACTTCTGATTCCATTAGTGCCTAGGATTTCCTTCCTGCAACAAACACAATGCCTTATGCTTTAGGTCTCTACTCACCAGACTTACATCTCTCTCATTTATGGTTCCTATGATCATGCTAAATCTTCTTCGGTGTTACTTCACACTTGAACAGCAATCCTCAGATTCCACTGAGAGCTGCACAGGAAAAAATGCAGCATTTTTCAGCAAGGTTAACACTTATTCTCTGGCCATCCAACCTGACACAATCATAACTATAAACCTGAGTCTGATCACATTTATCTTCTGGGAACATTATCTTAGTAATGGGCATGGTTTATCCTGCCAGTAAAAATAAAAATTAACACAGGCCCTTATGACTGGACCCCAAGAAGTGTTTAACTGTGACAAAACAGGCCTGTTATGGAAGAAAATGCCTAACAGAACCTACAGTACTCAGGAGGAAAAGGCACTCCCAGGACACAAGCCTATGAAAGACAGGCTAACTCTCATGTTTTCTTGTAATGCTAGTGGGGATTGCAAAGTGAAGCCTTTACTCATGGATCACTCTGAAAATCCCAGAGTATTAAAGAAAAACAGTGTCTCATCACTCATCGCATCTTCAATAAAGGTAAGCGTCATTTATTCTTCATTTAGTACAGTATATTGTGCATGTATCCTTCTTTTTGTGTGTAGGAAAATGTACATTTCATGTGGTAAAAAATTTTCTTTTCATACTTTCAGGTGTCTGGAATAGATTAATTGGATTTCTATTATTTCTTAGGGGGAAAATTAATTCAACTTACGATAATTTCGTCTAACGATGAGCTCTCTTTAACGGATTAATATCATAAGTCGAGGGTCCACTGTATCTTATAAGTTCACTGGCACAGTTTTAAGTTCTAGCACGCAAGAGAGACCATGATAAAACTTGGAAGAACACGGCGGGATGGCGACATGGCTTAACAAGTTAAGTTAGGCTGAAGTTGTCCAGCTCACAGATATAAATGCAGACTGTGGTTGTGAAGTACATACACAAAAAAAGCTGTGTAATATCCTAATAACCCATGGAGACTACCACCTCCTCATGTTTATGGTTCTACACTAATCATCACTGGGTGGTTCAGCTGCCTGGCAAACCCTGGTTGGTGTGGATTGTAGATAAAAAGGAAAATAAGAAAGAAAATGAGAGTGGAAGGAGTACAGAGCAAATGAAATTGCAAGATAGTCTCATTGGAAGGGCAGGCTCCGGTTCCTTAAATCAAAAGCCCCTTCCCGGAATTAAGCTAAAATCTCCTGTGAAGGACCAAGGAAGGGTGGCTCCATATCGTTGGATCAAGAGTACTTCACCAGTACAGAACACTCCACTGACTAGAACAAGCATTTAACCCCATTTTATCGTCATATCTGTGTTTTGAAACTCACCTGACATTTGAAATCACTCATTTCAATGGGTAATCCATCCGTAAGTTTACTCATTACTCGTTTAAGATAAAAACAGCGTGAAGAAGATTATTGTTGTGACCTCACGTAGATCCCTTCTTGTTGTTGTTGTGGTTAAGGGTTATGACAGCTAGAGGAGCCGTATGAAGACTACCTCTGGAGGAGCCGTGTGGAAACTACCTCTGGAGGAGCCGTGTGGACACTACCTCTGGAGGAGCCGTGTGGAAACTACCTCTGGAGGAGCCGTGTGGACACTACCTCTGGAGGAGCCGTGTGGAAACTACCTCTGGAGGAGCCGTGTGGACACTACCTCTGGAGGAGCCGTGTGGAAACTACCTCTGGAGGAGCCGTGTGGACACTACCTCTGGAGGAGCCGTGTGGAAAACATCGGAGGGTTTTGGGACACTCCCTTGGGAGGAGCTTTGGGGGACACTACCTCGGGGGGAGCCGTGTGGCCCTACGTCTGGGGGGGCCTTTGGGACACTACCCTAAAGGAGTTTGGGGGGACATCCCTTTGGAGGAGTTTGGGGGACATACCCTGGGGGACGTGTGGGACACTCCCTCTGGGGGCTGTGGGACATGCCCCTTGGGGGAAAGCCTGTGGCATACCTCTGGAGGAGTGTGGGACACTCCCTTTGGGAGGAGCCGTGTGGACATCCCTGGAGGAGCGTGTGGACACTCCCTTGGGGGCCCTTTGGGGAATTACCTTGGAGGAGCCGTGTGGACACTACCTCTGGATGACTGTGTGGTACCCTGGAGGAGCCTTGGGACACTACCACGGAGGAGCAGTGTGGCCCCTACCTCGGAGGAGCCGTGGGGGGCACTACCTCTAAAGGACCCATGTAACACTACCTTAGAGACCGTGTGGACATACCTCGGGGACCATGGGGACACTACCTCTGAAGGAACCATGTGGACCTACCTCTTAGGAGAATGTGGCACTACCCTGGGGGACCCATGGGGACACTACCTCTGGCGCAGCCGTGGGGACCTCCCTTGGAGGAGCATGTGGCAAAACCCTTTGGAGCACCCCCGACGGACACCCCTTTTGGGGAACCAGGGACACACCTCTGGAAAAGCTGTGGGGAGCTATATCTGGAGGAGCCATGGGGCACTACCTTGGAGCACCCGTGGGGACACTCCCACTGGGGACCCCTGTAGAAAAATACCTCGGGAGCACCCGAGTGGAACTCCCCTTGGGGGGGCCATTGGCCCCTCCCTTGAAGGGCCTGTGGACACCCCTCGGAGGACCCTGAGGACCTACTGTGGAGCGCCCGTGTGGACACGTCTCTGGAGGAGCCATGTGACACTCCCTTTGGAGGAGCCGTGGGCATCCTCTGGCGCCGTGGGGGATACTACCGCTGGGGACCCATTGGACCACCTTTGGAGCACCCGGTGGAACATCCCTCTGGAGCAGCCGTGTGGAGACTACCTTTGGGAGGGCCAGTGGACACTATCTCTGGACCCGTGGGGGAACTACCTCGGGAGCCGGGGGGGTACTACCGCTGGGGGAGCCATGTGGACAAAATTTTGGGAAAGCACCCGAGTGGCATACCTCTGGAGCAGCCGTGGGAGCTACCTCGGGAGGAGCCATGTGAACACTATCTCTGGAGACCCGGTTTGGAAACTTCGGGAGGAGCCATGTGGACCTACCTCTGGAAGTCCCATGTGAACACTACCTCTGGAGGAGCCATGTAGACACACCCTTGGAGGAGGTGTGGGGACACTACCTTGGGGACCGTGTGGCCCACTACCCTGGGCAGCCGTGGGGGACCTACTTCTGGGGGAGCCATGTGGAACTACCTTGGAAGTGCCATGTGAACACTACTCTGGGGACCCAGGTAACATTCTCTGGAGGAGCCGTGTGGAAAACCCCTTGGGGACCATGTAACACTCCCCTCTGGAGGACCCGTGTGGACACCCCTCTGGGGGCCCCATGAAAAACACTCCCTGTGGAGCAACCGTTAGACACTACCTCTGGAGGAGTCAAGTCGACACTACCTCTGGAGGGCGGGTTGGACACAACCTCGGGGAGCAGTGGGCATCCCTCTGTAGCAGCCGTGTGAAAAACACCTCTGGGGAAACCGTGGGGGACCTACCTCTGGGGGAGCAGTGTTGCCCCTCCCTTGGGGAGCGTGGGACACTAGCTCGGGGAGGAGCAGTGGGGACACTCCCCTTGGGGGCTGGGGGCACTACCTCTGGAGGACCGTGTGGACCAAACCCTCTGGAGGGCCGTGTGGAACTACATCGGAGGGCCGTGTGGACACTACCTCTGGGGGCCTGTGGAAACTACCTCGGGAGGAGCCGGTGTGGGCACTCCTCTGTGCAGCCGGTGAAAACTACCTCTGGGGCCCCGTGTGGACACTCCTCTGGGGGAGCAGTGTTGACCCTACCCTGGAGGGCCGTGTGGACACTATCCTGGAGGGCAGGGTGGACATACCTCTGGGGGAGCAGGTGGACACTACCTCGGGAGGAGCCGTGTGGACACTCTCGGGGGACCCTTTTTGGACACTACATTGGAGGGGGGCCGTTTGGGGACACTACCTTGGAGGAGCCTGGGGAAACTCCTCTGGAGGAGCCGTGTGGGGGGACTCCCTTGGAGGACCCATGTGGACACTATCTCTGGACAGCTGGTGGACACTACCTTGGGCCCCGTGGGGATACTCCGCTGGTGGGCCAGGGCACTCCCCTTTGGAGCACCCGGGGGACACTACCTCTGAGCAGCCGTTTGGAATACCCTGGGGAGATGGAAACTATTCTGGAGCAGCCGTGTGGACACTACTTCGTGGGAGCCGGGGACCTACCCTGGAAGTGCCATGTGAACAACCTCGGGGAGGAGCCTGTAGACACTACTCGGAGGAGGCGTGTGGACCTCCTCGGAGGGCCGTGTGGACACTCCCTGGAGCACCGTGTGAACACTATTTTGGGAGGACCATGCGGACACTACCTCGGGGAAGTGCCATGTGAACCTCCTCTGGAGGGCCGGGTAGCATACTCTGGAGGAACCCGTGGGGGACACTACCTCTGGGGGAGCCATGTAGACACACCCTGGGGGAGCCGTGGGGACATGCCTTGGAGACCCATGAGAACCTACCTGGGGAAAAAACCGTGTAGAAAAACCTTTGGGAAGGAGTCAAGTCGACCTCCTCTGGAGGGCAGTGTGGACACTCCTCGGGAGGAGCAGTGTGGACACTACCTCTGTAGCAGCCGTGTGAAAAACTACTCTGGAGGAGCCGTGTGGAAACTACCTCTGGGGAGCAGTGTTCCCCCTACCTCGGAGAGCCGTGGGACATAGCTCGGGAGGGCAGTGTGGCACACCTTTTTGGAGGAGCTTTGGGGAAACCACCTTGGAGGGCCGTGTGGACCCCCTCGGGAGGACCGTGTGGACACTACTCTGGAGGAGCCGTGTGGACACTCCTCTGGAGGAGCCTGTAAAAAATACCCGGAGGAGCCGGTGGGCACTACCTCTGTAGCGCCGTGGAAAACTCCCTGGGGGACCCGTGTGGACTCTACCTCGGAGGACAGTGTTGACCCTACCCTGGGGAGCCGTGTGGACATTTTTCCCCTGGAGGAGCATGTGGACACCCCTCGGGAGGAGCAGTTGGGGACACTCTTGGGGGAGCCGTGTGGACATAGCTTGGAGGACGTGTGGACACTACATCTGGGGAGCCGTGTGACATCCTCTGGGGGAGCCGTTGGAAAACCTCTGGGGAGCCGTGGGGGCACTACCCTGTGCAGCCGTGTGAAAACTTCTCGGGAGGACCCTGTGGAAACTACCCGGGGCCGTGTGAAAACTACCTTTGGAGGAGCGGTGAAAGAAACTACTATGGAGGGCCTTTTGTAGAAACTCCCTCTGGAGGGCCTGTGGCACTACCTCGGGAGGGCCGGTGGAAAACCCTCTGGAGGAGTGTGTGAAAACTACCTCTGGGGGAAACCCTTTTGTGGAAACTACCTGGGGGAAAAGCCGTTGAAAAACTACCCTGGGGGGAGCCGGTGGAAATACCTCTGGGACCCGTGTCGAAATCCTCTGGAGGAGCCGTGGGGAAAAGTACCCTGGATGAGCCGTGGGGAAAACTACCCCTGGAGGAGCCGTGTGAAAATACCTTGGAGGAGCCGTATTAAAGTACCTCGGGAAATAGCCTTTGGGGAAAACTCCCTCTGGAAAGCCGTGTGAAAACTCCCTTCGGGGGGCCCGTTTAAGCTACCTCTGGAATACCCGGGTTTGGAAACTCCCTTGGAGACCGTGTGAAAATACCTCTGGAGGAGCGGGGGAATACCTCTGGGGGGCCGTGTCGAAATCCCTCTGGGGGACCCGTGTGAAAAGTACCTCTGGAGGAGCCGTGGGGAAAAAATACCTCTGGGGGACCCGGTGAAAACACTCTGGAGGCCGTTTAAAGTACCTCTGGAAAATAGCCGTGGGAAATCCCTCGGAAAACCCGTGTGAAAACTACCGGGAGAGCCGGTTAACCCCTTGGAGGAGCCGTGTGAAAACTCCCTCGGAGGAGTCGGTGGACACTAATTTGGGAAAAGACCGGTTGACAACTCTGGGGACCCATGTGACCTACCTCTGGGGACCGGGGAAACCTCCCTTTGGGAGCCCCGGTTTGTGGAAAAATACTTCGGGAGGACCATGTGGAAACTACCTCGGGAAGTCCCGTTTAAAACACTATTCTGGGGAGCCGTAGAACTACCTCTGGAGTAGCCGGGTGGACATACCTCTGGGGGAGCAATGTAGACATACCTCTGGAGGAGCCGTGTGGACACTCCTCGGGAGGGCCAGAAAAACACTACCTGGGGGAGCCCGTGTGGACACTACCTCTGGGGGACCCAAGTCAATACCTCGGGGAAAGCCGTGTGGCCACCTTGGTGCACCCTGTGGATATTTCCCTTGGAAAAGCCATGTGGACACTCCTCTGGAGCACCCGAGTGGAACTACCTTGGAGGAGCCACATGGACTTTTCTATAGAGCAGCCGTGTGGACGTTTTATTTTTGGAGGAGCCATGTGGACACTACCTCTGGAGCAGCCGTTGGACGTACCTCTGAAGGAGCCTTGGGGGGCACTACCTCTGGAACAGCCGTGTGGACACTACTCGGGAGCACCGTTGGGTCCTTTT